GGAAGGAGAGAACGCATAAACTCCACATCCACACATTCATATCCAGAGAGAAAGAAAGAGAAAGAGAGAGGCAAAACGATTAAGCGTGCACAAAGAGTTGCACATGTTGACCGCGAGTGATCGTGATTAGAGGAGGAGGTTGTTTGTCCCCCTCTGAGGGGGAGGAGGGTTTCACCCTCCGACGCACGAAATGATATATCGGCGGACGTGTCAGCATCTGCGTCGTGGCCGGAGGATACGTTGGCGCGTAATCGTAGGATCTGCAGAGGTCACCGCGCCTCTAACGAGTCTTAATGAACGGGCGTGAGAGCGTGAGAGGGCCGCGGCGAGGCGAGCTGCCCGATCTTAATTCCGCGATAGATGAAAAGAAACGACACGCCTTCGGTTTCGCGGAATGGAACGTTCTCGTGGAAATTTGAAAAGGGGAGGAAGGGGGAGAGGGAGGGACATCTTCCATTTCTTAAAATGGCACGCCAACAATATAATATTCTTTGGAGAAGAGAGAGAGAGAGAGAATGGAGAATGATCGAACAACAACGTTGGAAGAAGAAGCAAAGGACTGAAGTGAGCGGTAAAAGATTAGATGAGAGGGGAAGAGTTAACTACTAGTTAACTACTAGTCATTTGTAAGTGATTTTCGAGTGTGTAAAGGATTATACCGTGAAGGACGCGACCATTATCGAAAACCATCTGCATTTCGACAGTAATTACCTGGTTGGAGTTGAAAACGCAGAACGATTTCTGAAAGTTTATCGCCGATTTTATTGAAAATATATAAGGGGCTATATATATATATCCGGAGCTAGGATCAGATGGTGGCAAATATTCAGGCGGGTCGATTAAGTTTTTTCTTCTTTTCTTTTACTACTAAGCTAATCGAATTGACTAATAATCGATTGTCGAAACGATCGAGAGTCGTTAATGACGGTCCCTGGCGGGAGAGGTCGGACCTTTTAAAATTCTATACGCTCTGAATAGGGTGAGGGGGAGGATCGTTAAATGTGTATCGGTATTCGAGGTTGGAGACATAAGTTGGATGGGCTGCAGCTTCGATTAAAAGTTATATTTTAATTTTATTGAAAAAAGTTTAAACGTTACGTTGTGCGATTAGTAGTTGGTTTCGAAGAGAGCTCGTTTCAAATTAATTACCAATAAAAATGCAAATTAACTATTTTTATCGAGGACAGGTGCATAGAAGGGAAATGTAATTACACGTGATGTAATTACAGTCGAATTATTCGATATTGAGCTACGAAAAAAAAAAAAAAAAAAAAGGAAAAAATCGCTTCTGTCGCTGTAGAAAAGAGAAAGAGATTACGTAAACCTTTTCGCGCCCGGATGCAGCTCGCGTGCGAGGGGTTCAGTTTTTTTCAGATAGCGAACGAAGATAAATTGCATTCTCTACCCGTATCTATCGCTGAAAGTTTCGTGATTAATGGAACAAATAAAGAACGGGAGGGACAAAAAAAAAAGAAAAAAAAAAAGAAGAAATCATTCGAAGAACGAAAAAGTAATTACGAATCGATTGATTCCTGATTCATCCGTTAACCATAATAACCAGACTTCTTTTCTAAAAAAAAAAAAAAAAAAAGAAAAAAAAAACGAAAAGAGAAAACAAAAAAAAGAAAGAAAAAAAAGAATAGTGGAGAAGGGCTTTGGAGTAATTCTTTGAGGAAAAAAAGAAGGGCCATTTCCCCAGCTTCCGGCATTTTCTCGTTAACACGGTTCGAGGGATCCCATTGACACGCGAAATTCGCCATGGCAACACGCCCCTCTTGCCTTCTCCTCGCTCTTTCTCTCTTGCTCTCCCTTTATATTCACTCCCTCCACCGTGCGAATCGACACCACACAGCTCGACACTCGGACACGAGGCGTCCGATTTAAAGGAAGTTTGACAAGCGACCGAGGATTTTTCTCCTCGGTCAAACAAAGAGTTCGATTTCACTCGATCCGGCTAACTCGAAAGCGAGGAGGCGACGCGAAAATGGGAAGGGGGATAAAGGAGATAGCGATGATAGACGAGATGAAAGAAGAAAGAGAGAGGAAGAGCAAAAAGAAAATTACATCAGCTGCTCGGCTCCTCGGAGAAGATCTCCTTTCCACCCTTGTGCGTCTTCGTTCTTCCTTCCCCAACACTACACTACACCACAACAGCGTCCAGCTTCTTCCACGAAATTCAACCTTGTTGCCCTTTTGCTTCCTTCCAGGAACCCTCTCTTCTCCCCTCCACGTTTTCGACGTCAACCTACACGATTAACGATTGCACGCCTACCAGACCCGCACGACCGGATGGCAAAACGAATGCGAGAAAGCATAGACGCCGCGGATGAATTGCCTTGTGTGCATCGTCGCCGTCGCGGATATATGAAATTCTATTGCCGCGAGAGGGGGACGTAGGACCGTGTGGCTCGCACGCTGGAAAAGCAGAAATTGCGAATCGGATGAGATTTTTCCACGTTCGATTCGACGACACGGATGAATTGGACGGAATGAAGAATTGACTTTCCACGGCGAGTGGAATACTTCGAATACTATTCGCGGATAATTTTTAATTCCCTTTTTTGTTCCTACTCGCGATGAGTGAAATTTATAATAGGGGTATTCGATGTCAGATTCTTTGAATTGCTCTTCCCCCTCTCTTTTTTAAAATAATTTTGTGTATGTAATCATGATTGTTTTTGAAAATATGTTTTTGTTGTTTATGAATCAAAAGGGAATAGGGAAATTTGAGTGTAAAATTTAAAACGGACATAAAACTTTGGCATTCTTGAGGATTACGAGCCATATGATTGGAAATTCGTATTTTAAATCATATATCTTATAACTTATTGGATGAAAAAAATTCATATATCAGACACTAGTGTATATCGTAATATTTTGCATATCGGATGGCATGTACAATGTACAGTCAGAAGTTGGAATTTATGTTTCGAGAACGAGGATTCGGGACGGAGGACTCGTGTCCTCTGTCCGCAAGAAACATCTGCTACTGGCATAGCAGATCGCTGACGAAGAATGGAAAGACCAGTCTTACACTGCACAGTCACTTTCGAAAACGCTTTATGGAGCTTTGTGTAGTCTGATCTACAATAAACTTCATGGTTTTTCGAGGATAAAAAAAAAGAAATACGAATGAAGAAGAATTTTATGAAATGCTATTCTTAACGATTTATAAATGTCGTCTTTTGAAAAAATGCTAAAAATTTTCGAAATTCTATATTCAAGAAAATTTCTAATCATTTTTTTGAAAATATTGAAGTATATGTGAAAAATGAGTTTCGAATATTTTGTTTTGATAATTAAAAGATTAAATTTAAAGAATTATATATGTTTTAATTTACTCAATGAACGATTACTTTTCATAAAATTCAACTGCAGTATAAATATGTTAATATTGCTTCTAGAGAATTATAAGGAAGTAGGGATAGAATTATAATCGAGAAGAGAGGTTAGATGAGAGGAAGTGAAACAAATTTGCAACCCAGGTGCAACGCAGGTGGATTTCACTTTCGATGGCAACGAGATCGATGCAACATCGTGGAAAAGGAAAAACTCGTGCCAAGTAAACAGGAAGTTCCGTTATGACAATGAAAAGGATAAGGGAATGCGTCGAAGATGGAATAACGAGTTACCATTGAAAGACATCTTTGAAAAATTCAAAACTACTTGTCTATTGACGAAAAACTTAAAAAATAAAAGTTTTCCATAAAAAAAAAAAAAAATAAATTTTGATACAAATTAGACATTTATACATAATAAAATAATAAATTAAAAAAAGGAAATTTATCTCGATATAATTACCAAAGGGTCTATTATTACGACCTATAACATTTATTATCCATTAAAATATCGTAAAATTTATTACGAGTTTTAAAAGCGAATGGCATTACTCCACGTATATGTACAGTTATCGAACTAATTATTATATTTTATCTGGAAACTTTTCGAGTTGAAAGAACTCTGACTATAGCTAATACCGGTTTTCAGTGAATGGTTGTTCTCTAGTGTACATATAAATACTATCGATGTAGGTTTCGAAATATCGGCGATTTCGCTTGAATGAACGATTCATTATCATTTCCAGCGAAATACAATTCTACGTTTACAATGTTCACGAACGATATAAAAGCGTGAAAAGATATAGGGATTGTATAGAAGGAATTAAAAAACATGCGTCGTGGTGTATGTTTGTTGAACGCATGAAATATAGTCGAACGTGTCCCGTTCGAAATGATAAACTGCGGTCTTTCGAATGATCGGCTATTGGCCTATCGATGGATATGAATCAATCGGTTAACGAAGTAATCGATCCCTTGTTTTATTGTCATCGATACTCCCGCGATACGAACGGTGACAAGATTCAAAACGATCGTCAACATCGATTCGCGATATTCTGTTGTTTAACGTAACGTGAGCGTCTATTGTCAATGGAAGCTTACCGACTGACTCCTACCATTTGCTTGCTTTAAAAACTACCCATCACCCTATATAAGTATTTAATACGCGTTCGATCGTAACGGATAATTCATTCCGAAATTTAAAATCAACGTACGTTAAAAGAATACGTACTGACGAGAAAGAGATAATTTTTTATTTTCGATAAACGAGAAACATAAACACGTTGTTACTTGAAAAAGAGATCCTCATATATACGCAGAAAATTGCTACAGACACAATGGTGGTGGACAACAAACAACAAAGGTGAATCGTTAACCTTCGTTTAATCCGTGGTAACTGTGATCCGGACAACGAGAGCAGCTGTTCCGAAAGTATGGACGAGTTTCGAGGCCGAGTCGGCCTCGATCGAAAGTAAAAGCATGTAACCGTAACCGGTATCGGCGCGACGAAACCACGGTATTTATAATCACGTTACAGCTTGGTTATGGGGATCTCTTTTTACGTCGCGACACGATGGCAGCGGTGGCGGTGGTCGCGAAAATAAGTACGAAAGAGTCATGTCGCCTAACCTATCGCGCGTTTTTTGTTCTTTGTTCACTCACCTAGCGGGATGCGTAGAGCCGGCCAGCTCCAAAGCCAGACAGAGAAACGTGTAGCCAGTCCTCACGAGCGTGTAAAATCCCGTATGCTTCTTCTTCCACCACTGTATTCGCACCGACGAGAAAGACGCACGCTCCACGCAAGCCGGTCGAGAAAAGAACAGCGACAGCAGCGGCGGCGCCGGCTGCAGCCGAACTGAAACGATGTACTTTTTTTCTCTCTATCTCTCGGTGTCTCGTTCGACCGGCCTTGTTGCGAGCACGCACGGGTTAGCGTAAAAATTCGTGAGGGTGAAAAAAATGAAAAAATAAGAGAACTACACCACCAGCGACGACAAACGAGGACGACGAGCACCGCGACGATCCGCGTAGGCGCTGGGCGCGTACTGTGCCGAACGAACGAAAGCAGTATGGCGCCCGGCGGCTTTCCTGCTGCGCGCTCGCTCCTCTTTGTCCCCTTCCACGCGCATCTATCCCGCTCTTACCGTTCCATTGGCGAGCCTTTTCTCTATCTCTCTCTATCTCCGTCCGATACACGACTGGTTTATGGATCGTTTGACTTTGTCTCTCAGCAAGCGCCCACCACGTTATCCCTAGTGATGGGCATTTGAATAGTTGCCTCGTAAATTTTCAAATGCCACAGTTTTATGAAGGTTTGAATTATATTATTGTTGTTGGGATTAGAAGAAATTATTCCAAATTTATTTACGAAATATTATGAATTGACATCGATCGTAATATTCGTCATCATTTTAAACATTATTACCTTAAGTTCTGGATATATAATTCTGGAAATATAATCACGTATCATAAAATATTCGTATTTTAACGCATTTTTCATTGCAAATCAACTAAACAAATTCCTGTTTAAATTCTCATCGCATAATGAAACTAATTCGATGTTTCTCAAATCCATCACTATTTACGAAGCTTCTTTCTTTCTTTCGTATTAATCCATTGCACTTCCTATCTCTCTCTCTCTCTCTCTCTTTCTCTCCATGCCACCGAGCCACTCTGTCTTCGTCATCGTTCCTTAGCACTTTCTCTCTTTTTACTATTGCTAACAGATTCATCCTTCTTCAACCAATTTTAGTTATATTAAATTTCATCCTCGTCTCTCCAGCACCGAATATATCGAACGTCTTCCTTTCACGTTATCTCCATCCTCTTTTCACTACATAGATTTCCCCTTCCAACTCTTCGCCCATAGCTCCCCACTGCATAGCCTGTCTGGAGGTGGAGGAGTGGGAACGGACAGCGACGAACGTGTAGGACGGAGATGAACGAAGATACTTTCCGTTAGTGCCGCCGGTTACCAGCCAATCAGAGTGCAGCAGGAGCAGTGTCCCCTACGAGGTCGCGCGACCAGACGCCTCGCTTTCCCCAAGAGAACGCGGCAGCGTGGGTGACAGAGAGATGAGATTAAAATTAGATCGATTGTCTTTAATAACTTGCACCGGCGCCTATCGTGCCGGCCGGTGTTTCGCATTAACGAAATGCAACAGTTAGGACCGAGTCCGTTATATCATCGTGATCGATCATCAACGTCGTGTCTATCTTTATCTCGTCCACGCGATAAAACGAAGATGCACGATAATTTTCGAGGAGAGAAAGTACGAGAAAAAGGTGTGAATAAAAATTAACGATACGATGCTACTTCGTGTAATATGTTTATAAGAAATTTAATAAAGATGATAGATCTTGGTATTCACGAAATTAAATATAAATTCGATTCATATGAATACATTTTTATTTTTAACTTCCTCCTTATGCAAATTTAACGCTTCGCGTTTATCTTTGAACGTGTAGGATGAGCCTTTACGTGTATTGGAAAAAATTTTAAGTAAGCGTTTTTTAAAAATGGATATTTGCATTGAAGAGGGAAAATCTCGCGGAATGGATCGGTTAAAGGAACGCGAAGTAGGCGTTCAGAGGAACACGTGGGCATTCGTGTGATGCAGAAAATGCCAGGGAAACGAAGACAACCAGGGGAACGTAGCACGATAGATGATTCATTATATTGCTTATGGAATATTAACGAAAACGAAAGAAGGGAGAAAAAAAAACATATCAAATGTATTCGTAGGAACGCTTTTGAATGGACGCCTACGATACTCGTAAATATTTCATGAATATCCAAGGGAGAAAAAAAAAAAAAATAATTTAAAATATAACGTCGATATAAATATAGTTTTACTTTTAATCACAGTTAAACGAGGCATCGTGTTGCCTTAAAATACTCGCAACTAATATTATTAAGTTTTATTACACGATCGCTTAATCGTATCGTCAGAATTAATTCAATTATCGATCGTGGCGCGATAACGATTATCGATTTTCTTCGACGCCTCGCCCAAGAAAAATCGTCTCTTTTAACGAAGCTTTTAATACAGGCATACGTGCAAAAGTTGCGCTTCATTTCCTCGAATATTTGAACGGGACACGGCGATTGCACGGAAGTTGCGCCGGAATATTGATTTCGTTCGAGTGACTGTCTCGACAAACCGATATTTGCTTAATTTGTCAACGTGTTCGAACCTTAATCAATCCTTAACCCTGCAATTTTATTTTTTCCTTACGTCAATTTGGATTTAAAAACTAGTATACAAAAAAATTCTAAACAGATTCGTTGCGTGTACATATTTTTCTTGCCCGTTAATACAATTTCGATTTTCACGTCGAATTTTATATAAATGCGAAATAATTCGTTCAAATGAAAGTTATATCGACGACAACGAAAATTGATTACAATAAAATTCGGGAAAATGGAACGAGAGGACGACAGGATTAAATCTGGAACAAGGTTGGCTAAATTAAAGTCCCAAATCGTTTCGAAAATCCGATGGAAAATTCCCCAGCAGAAGGGAACGATTTATTTGCCCGCAATTTTCTTTCCTTCCTTCCTTCCTTCCTTCCTTCCTTTCTTCTTTCTCTGGAGGAACAACTTTCGCGTTTAAAGCGGCCACGATGGAACGTTTCGCCGTGGAGCGCAGGAATCCGATAACGTCGGAGAAGTTGCCGTGTTCCCAGGAGTTTCGATCACGGAAACGTGGCCCACCGTCCGCGAAACAAACCTGCGGAGGAGGACGCGAGCTCGTCCACGAACGTCGTCCAAGATACAGGGTAACAACGTTCGTAGCCTCTTCAATTTCGTCGCGCGAATCACGGAAGGAAAAGATTACGTGAAACGAGCGCCCGGGGAGCACAAATCCTCGAGTTCCACCTTTTGAATCTTTTATTTAACAACTCGAGTTGCATCCTCCTGTGGAGGAGAGATAGCGGAAGGAGGATAAGAGGAGAGAGAGGACAAGTCTCGCGAGAAAATGGATGGAAGAAGAAGGGGTTCGAAGAAGAGGAGGAGGAGGAAGAGAGTTTCTGGTCACACTGGATGAGGAGCAATATCGTTGAGGAGAATTTGAAATCGGGGCTAATAGAAAGGAAGGAGGAACGAACGAAATAAGAGGCGGTCCATGGGGATGGACGGTCCCCTTTCATCTCCATGGATGCAGACCCTCAGTGATCCTCAACCCTGACAGCCCGGTTCCCGTAATTGCATGGAAATCCGGTTGGATGATTCCTGTTGGTTCGGGCGTGGACGTGACGGCGATGCCTCTCGAGTAAACATAGCCTCGAGCCAGCTCGACGACGACGACGACGAACATAGCAATAATAATATTATTCTTAATTTCGCGATACGACGTAATTACGGACGAATGGAATGATTACTGTCGATCGATGGTTTTATAGAAAAAATAAGAGACGTTAAATTAGACGAATGATTTCTGCTTCTGTGCACCCGATCCACTTGTAGAACTGGAAAAGTCGAGTTTTCGTTCCTTTCGTTTTCTTCGCTCGTTTCTTCTTTTTTCTTTTTCTTCCTTTCTGGTTATTATTGATGGTATAAGTAGGTCTACACAAGTTGGATATATAGTTATTTATGCAAAATTACAGCGGTGTATTTATGGGAACGATAACGCGGTACAGGCTAGTTTATTTCTCGATTCTCGAAATGCGATAAATAAGTTAATCGGCCGTTCCACTTGTATGTATTCTTTTTTGTAATCGAATTAATCTCTCCAATCACTCTTTTTCGTAACATAAACCTACATAAATTGTCACGATTGTTTTAACTTGAAACGTATTGTTGTAAAAATTCTAATCTATGATTCAAAGATAAGTATCTTAGAAGTAGTTCCAGCAAAATGTCATCGTAAATGAGAAATCGTCGAAAATCGGCCGTGACCGCGACATTAATCGACTAGCGAGCGTCATAAGCGCGTGCAGCGACCACAGGTAACCGCAGCCAATAATTTCTGCAGTTTATCTAGTTGAAACATCGCGATGTGGAACATCATTTCCATTTACTTTTTTAATGCTCGAACGATTCAAAAGTCTTTAGGCTATCTTGCCCGGTAATAGTCTTGAGGCCCGGTGATCTAGAGATCTAGTTGTTAGCAGTTTTTGGATGCCTTAGTAAGTAGTCTAGTTGTCTAAAGATCTAGTAATTCTGAGATCCAGAGACTCCAATGGTCTTAGTAATCTGCCCAATAATCCACTTGTCCATTAGTTCGAAGATCTTGAGATCCAATAGTCTTAAAAAATCATTAGTGATCCTGAGATCTAGGAATGTTACCGAATTTGTACATTGAATAATGATAATCGAAGTCTGTGGCATTTTTTCTTAACTTTTTCTTGGTAAAGTGAAACCACTGCTCGAATCACAATATCGTACAAGTTTCCACGGAACAGAATCGAAAGTTTAGCTTCGGAATCCCAGGAGGGCGAGTCCTCGAATTCTCGTCATTTCGCTCGCATCGCTTTATTTTCTCCATTTCATTCCTCTTTCCCTCGAGCGGATTTAAAACGCGACACGTATTCCGTCCAAGGAGAATGTTTCGCCTTCAAGATTCTAGGTTTCTGGATTATTCAACAATCCCTTTCCCCATCCACTCATCTTCGAGCATCTTTTCATTTCTTTTTTCGCGGAAACGTTTCATCCTTTCAAGAATGTTTGCCCCAAATAAATTTAACTCGTTGTCGAAACAACCTTGTTTTCCTATTTTCGCGTTTCATGTTTTCGAAATCTCCATCACATTGCTCGTCGATCGGAAAAAACGATCGAAAATCGAGAATCAATCAATTTGCGACTTGATTAAAAATTGAAAGAAAAATTGAGCGAATCGATTTACGCATCGTTCAATTCTTTTCGATTCTTTTCAATGTATTTTGAAAAATGTCGTTTGATGAAATTTTTAAGGAACGTACGAAATAAATCGCGACTCGATCGATGAAATATTTTCCCAGAGATTTGTTCCTTTTATCCTATCGTTTACTTAATTCCAAAAAGAAAAATGGCGTGTCAATTTTTCAAAAGAAAGTTGGAAGTTTAGAAAAGAATTAATAACTGTATCGTAAAAACGTTTCGCAAAAATGATTTCGATTA